TCAAGATGCAGATTAGGAGGGACAAAAGTAGGATTTAATAACCTATGACCATGCATGCACTAGCAAAAAAAATAACCAGTAAATAACAATCACTTCGCCCCCACAACAAATCAATCAACAAACATTCTCCACATACATTGGTTCCATACTCCCATGTTTGAACAATATGCAAAGAAAAAGTAAATTGCCTACACGCGGGCTCACGATTTATCTAAGAATTTAAAAACTTACCACCACGCGGGCCGACTATTTAACTAGAGATTGAGTAAGAAAGATCTCACAAAGGGTTCTTAAGAAACTTTAATTCAACTTTGGATTTCCAAGCCTTGCTATGCTTTGCAAATTTTTAGATTTTAGCTCCTTTTTTGCTTAGCTTAGCTCCTTGCTTTTCAAATCTCCTTTGCTTGACTTCCTTGCTCAATTCACCTAGCCAAGTAAGAACAAACATAATAAGTAACTAAAAAGAAAATAAACTAAAGACATAATCAAAAGAGTACTAATTCCTATTTGTTTCCAAAACATGGCGTTGCCAATTTAATCCTTGGCAACGGCGCCAAAAACTTGGTGTAGTCGCCGAACCAAAGTCTAAAAATGTGTTAAGAATGTGAATGTGCAATGTGGCCAAGTTTTAAATTTATAAATGCCACTACTACCTTTAACTAAAAATATAGCTAGGGTGAATGGGGATCGTCCCAAGGGATTGTGGGTGTGTTTGCAATGGAAACAATATATAGGGTTAGCAGGTCAAGTGATCAAAAGATGGTTTGTTTGGTTGATTAAACTATAATGCAATTGAAATTAAAGCAAGTAAAAGGTAACAATTTAGAAAGTAAGGAAAAAGATATAGAGTAGAGGACTTGAGGTACTAGAGCTCACCACTAAGCTTGACTTCACTAGACACTAGCAATTGTATAGCAATGGGAAAATTGAATTGTAACTTGTGTATGTGTGTAACATTAATTGAAGCTAGGCATGGATAGAAAATAAGTATAGATTGTTTAGCCAATTCAAATGGAAAGCACAACCTATCAAATGAAGCCAAAATCCATTCAATGAAACCACAATTTATGCACACACAGCTACCTAGAAACATACACCATTTGCATTCATAAGTATGGAACACCAATGAACAAGAATAGATTGTCCACCTATCTATGAATCTAAAGCAACTACACTACATCTACATTAAGACATGGAAATTAAACTAAGTAAGCTAAAGTGTGGCACAGTCCATCAAGAAATAAGTATGAACCATCAAATAAATTACAAGAGTGTTCAATTAAGCACTATGTTTTGATCATCACTAGATTAACTTCATCCATACACATAGACATGCATAAATTCCATTAAATCTAGAGAAATGTACATGAATCATCCATTCTAGCATACATAGACATATGATTAGAAATAGATAATCAATTGAAAGCATTAATCCATATACATCAAGTAAAAACCACAAGATATATATATAAGTCCAAGATCAAAACAATTACTACAAGTAAATCCCCAAAAATATACAAAGCACTAGGTCTAGGAAGCAAACTTATGGGCTACTCTAGTCCCAAGTAGCTGTCTAGCCACTCATTGAAGTAGTCATCCAACCCTCAAGGGCTATCTCCATGGTTGGAATGACCTCCTTCTTGATGGAAACCTTAGAAGAATGGAAGAACTCCTAAAATGTGTAAAACTCTCTCTAGTCTCTAGCCTCCTCTCCAAGATATGGATGAGTAAGTATCATGAATCTTTTATGTTAAAATGGCTCCAAATCCTTATATAGGAGGCTCAAGTGTCACACCTAATGGTCTGGACTCGTGCACTAGCGCCCTTGCAACAATTGCACCACGAGCCAACTTTTAATGAGTTGGAATTTGTTTTAATTTGGATTTGAGAAGGTTCGATCGATCGAACTGAGGTGAGATCCATCGAATGCTGCAGAGATCAATCATCCTTGGCGGCGCCTTTTTGAATAAAGACAAATCTCTGAGATATTTTGAGATATTTTGGGAAAAAGACAAAAGTGGTAGGTGGGATGGTAAGTGAGGATAAGATCAAACAATTTCGATCAATTTGAGTAAGTTTGGATCGATCGAAGGTGGTGGAATCTTTTGGATAAGGACAAAGACTTGGATCCATCTTGAAATGTCTAGATCGATCACCTCTAGATTGATCGAAGAATTGTTGAGATCGATTGGACTTGCTGTTTTTTCACACTTTGCTTCCACTTTACTCCTTTCTTCCATTCAGCTTGAGATAGTTTCTTTTAAGCTTTTATTTGACTAAATTAACTTATTTTTGGGATAAGTGCCTGAAAAGGGCAATAACACGAAATTAGTCTAAGACAGGAAAATAAGATAGATAAAGGTCCTAAAATACCTAAGTTTAAAGGTTTAAATGCGCATTTTTCAGCACTCATCAGTAGGGTTGTTTAATGCATTGTATTTTACGTTTCATTGAGTTCCCTTGCTTTGATTTCATACTAAGCATGTTCTAAATTGTAGATTTATTTGAGAATGATGCTAGTTGTGTTTTAAATGTGGAAAAATATGTTTTAATATGATGTTTATGTCACAAGATGTTAATTATCCAATGTGGTTGTCATGTGTGAAAGCATGTTTTAGTGGAAGTAATTGTGTTATTATAATGATCTTGTATGGACGGTAAGTATGATTGTGATCAAATAAATATGAAAAGCATGCTTATTGTTAAATTGAAATATTATATGTGAAATTGTGGATTTAACATAATGTAATTTCAATTCGTAGTTACATGTGTTGTGGAATGTATAGATGACATTGGGAAATTGTATATTAAATTGTATTGATGCATGATTCATTTCATGGCATGAAAATGGTGAGAGGTTTGGGTTAAGTTGTCAAAGAAATTGTATTTCAAGAAGCCTGTGAAATGGATTTTATAAAATAACCGGATTTCACAAGTCCAGTGCTAATTTGACCTAAAGGGAGTGTGTGTCAGATTTGCACGTGTAATATTGCACTAACTAGGCCCCAAATGGTTGTCGGTTTTGAAGTAGGGGATAGTTGAGCAATCTCACCTTGGTAAAGTAAATTAGCGATTTTCGGTGTGGGTAATGTCGGGTTAGGACCGGAGTTAGGACGGCGTTGCATTTCACGGAATTATACATGTTTGTAGATTACTAAATTGTGAAATGAATGCTATTATTGTAATGTATGTTGTTGCAAGTATATGATGCCCCTAAGTATGTTCCCGGTCACTCTTTAGTCCCTTTCTTTGGTGATTGACTCAAGGGAGTCAAAGTAGATGCCTTAGGCACCTCCTACTGAGCCTCCGTGCTCACCCCTTCCCTTAACATTTTTCAGGTTATGGCAAGGAGGTGGTAAATGATGTGCCCTCACAAATGTAGTCGGAGACAAAGAATTCGTGCCTTGCAGTTTTTATATCAATGCTTAGTTTATGACGATTATTTTGTAAAGAGACTACTATTCGTTGAAACTATAGAAGGCATTGTATTCATGGCCACAAAGGCCTTGACTATGTAACCGTATTCTTTCAGACTACCTTTATATATGTTTTGGGATATGTAAATGACGATAATGACGTACATTAGTATATTGGCAATGATGGATGCATTCGAAATGATCTTATGTGGATCATTACAGTATGTTATTAATTTCAATGTATATTAATGCATGGTGATGTTTTAGCACATTATTTTCATGAGTTGGGATAGGTGTTCAATGATCAAAATGACCAAATTATAGTTTGGGATATGATCCATTCAAAAAGGGGCAGAAAGAGAGTCTAACCACACATTTTTTTTTTTTTTTTTAAATCAGTGAGGGATTGATCACCCACCAAAGGGGATCGATCCCCCCCTCCAAAACAGGCCCCGGGGGGGAGGTGGTGGGTGTTCTTCCAGGGGAGGTCGATCCTCCATTTTTCATTTTTCATAAATTGCCTTTGAACTTTGACTATCCATAACTTTTTCGTTTTAAACCCAAATAGGGTCGTTCTTGAGTCTAACTCACACGTTTTTTAGTCATCTTTCTAATGGTGTCGGTCTTATTCCATAAATTTTACATGAAATAACCATTTTACCCTTATCAACTCTAGGTACCTAGAGTGAGCCTAGATTCAAGGATATCACTCTTTCATGAACCGATTTGGTTAGTAACGATTGGTGTGCCATCATTATGACTTTTAAAATATAAGGAGGTACATAATGACCATTTTTACCTTAGTGCCCTCAGGTCAGGTTGGACCCGATTAGCGATTGGATCTACGGATTTAGGTCGTTACAGTGAACCTAGTGTTTTTCAAATGGGTTATGCTCTTTTTGATGGATCCGGTCCATTTTTTATTTTAAAACACGTGTTGTTCTTTTACTGAGCCACCTCACTTGGAGAAGGAAATCTCTACTAATAGGGTAGGAGGTATGTATTGTCCTTTTATATATATGTATATATTTGAATTTTCAAAAAGACCTTCAACATTCAATGATAGGTGATGTTCCTGTCATTTAAAAATTTTACCCCATTTTAAGTAGTGTTTACCGTTTTCAATAATATTCAAATTGCGTTATCAAACACACTTAATTGGATAAACATTTAATACGATTGAGCGCTAAATTGAGTTATCAAATAGTATCTTTGTGTCAACAGAAAGCCATACGATGGCGCTGTTAAATTGTCGCAAATTATTATTTGCGACCTTACCTATTGGCATGGACCAATTTCCCCTAGAGAATACTTAGTGCCTATTTGGTTTGTAACTCTGAAAACAATTTTCAACAACTCAAAAAACATAAAACTATTTTTAGAGATCTATAAAAGACAGTTATCTGAAAACAAACATTATTACAGCTGAATTTTTAAAAAACTGAATTGAGTAGAGTTTTTGTACAGTTTTCTGAAAACGCAAAACAATTTTCAAAATTACAAACCATGTCTTATTTGCGATGAATTTAGGACTATTTGAGTTAGCAAAAAACGAACTTTGTTGTTGTGATTGCACTAGAGGGGAAAATAAATAGTAAAATTCTGTAGAATTGCATTCATATAGAAGCCAAGGGATCAAAGTCCATCAATTTATTTTAATTTTATGTTTTCGTAGGAGAAGCCAATGTTACCCAAACATTGTACTGGAACCTCCAATAGTAAATACACAGATTTGTTGTTCTAGTACCAAGAAGAGCAGAAGTTTGAATCCCTCAAACAAATTGATCAAGGTACTCCTCCACAGTGGTGTATTTGACATCCGGATAAAGCTCAGAAGCCTCAACCCCAAAGGATGGTTCAATCTCGAAGTTGGTGTGATCTCCCTTCACAAAAACCGAGTGGTGGATCGCCAAAAAAACATTGATCGGACTGGTGGCCTCTGCAAGGAATTAGTAACATGTATCTCATTAAGAATTGTCCAAATCAGTAGCAAGCACATTGCAGTTTAAGAAAAAATAAACATGCTAGATTACTTCGGTTAGTTTTAGTACAAGCTTTCGCTAAAGCATGTGAAGAATTGAGCAAAATGTACCACTGACCTTGGATGTCCTTGAGAAGTTTCTCTTCCGGAACATAGATTCTTTCAAGGGTCTTGCCAATCTTCTTCTCCCAAAGGGAAACAAGCTCATTGAATGAGTAAATATTTTTGGAAGGCCTGAGGTAGAGGATCTTGTTCAATGTTCTTGGATCATCCACAGCTTTGATGGTGTAGGTGCTAATGTCATGTTCCTCGTTAAATATTGCTTTTAGTCAAAACAAGAAATAAGAATAAACACTTTTGTACCATGTTCCTCACATAACATATCAATAAACACAACCAAGAAAGAAGAAAAATAGATTCTACACCGGAGCATTAAAGGAAAAAAAAAAAATTACTGTGTACAATGTGAACAGCTTATCTCGGACTATTTCACTTTTAATCCTTGCAGAAAATGCAGAAAGGATATGCTAACTTCAGCTTAACCTAAGGGGCTGTTGAATGAACAAGGACTAAGTACAAGTGTCTGTTACTGCATTTGGAGGTATCCACATCCTAACTCATTTACTGATGCCAAGCGTTACTCCAGAGTAGTTTGCATGCTTAAAGGAGATGCATATATCTATCCATCTATATATATATATGTATATGTATGTGTCTGCACACAATAATTAATTTTCTTGTTGCTCGCCAGGAGCAGAAGATCAGTTTTCAGCACTAGTTCTAGAATGTCTTTTTGGTTATACTTTGGAAATTTGCACCTGAAAAACCTAATTCAGTAGCAAAGCCAGCATTGATATTTGATTTATTGATGTTAAATTTTGTCTTCTGGATCTCTTAAAGAAATTATTTGCGGAGTTTTGGATTCCTTGGAACGACAGATTAAATGTGAAGCTGATAATTCAAACAAAAATGAGTTTATGGAGAATTTTCAATACCTTTGGGATTTCCATCCCCTAAGATGATCACTCTCTCTCTAGGTGGAGCAGTAGCTCCAGGCTGCACCAATGTAGGGAGGAAATAGCCAGCAAAGCAATTCGAAGCCACATAGGTGTGGGGAATTCCCTCAGCCTCAATCGCTCGGCGGATTTGGGCCTTCACTGAAAATGCAGTTTTTGCAGGCTCAACAGGATGAACACGGTCCACATCGTTCCCAAATTCCGAAGGGAAGAATCTCTGAACAATTCAAGAAAATATTAGAAAGTCCAGCCTCCACATGGTGCTCCTTGAAACCAACATCTTATGTTAATGAGAAAGTTGTCCATTGCGATGTTTTAAGAACATGAAAACACCGAATCAGGCTTGATGTATAAACATAAAAATTGTTTTTTGATTTGGGGATATTAGTCTTCAACCCATCTTCCACTAGTGATAAAACAGGCAAATTTTCTGTTCTGAAGCTGAAATATTGCAGATTAGGATGTTGAGTAAGTATATCACAATTCTTTTAGGACAGAGATATCATAATATTTTGAATAGGTTGTTTTATGCATGACATGATGACAAAGACTTAAAGCTAGAAAATTATATTGTCGCCATTATTTAAAGAAATAGCGAGTACCACTCACATTATTACAAGATTTTAGATTTACTTGAATGGATCTTGAAATAGAAATTTAAATTTAATGAATAAGAGAATGGACGTAATTATAAAAGACAATGGAAAATAACATCGCATTTTCTTTCTCAACCATACCTTGAGAAACGGATGAAAATAGTTACAAATGATTGTAATCCTCCCTGATATGCATATGATATTTCTTGATATTTTTTAAAGTTTGAATTTATAGAAAATTAAGACAGCATGGTCGGAAGTTGGTTACAAAGATGACATTCCATCCAAATGGTTGTTAGAAGAGATGAATACAATCTTTAAGGGTCCGTTTGATTAGATAGAAATTTATGATGGAAAGTAAAAGTGAAAGAAAGTGAAGTAAAGGAAAAAAAAATCAAGTTTCCAGTATACATTTGATTAGAAGGAAAAATTTTCAACAAAGTTATGAGGAAAATATTATTTTTCAAGAAAGTTATGAGGAAAATATTATTTTGTTAATTTGGATAGAATCAAAATGAAAAGAAAATGATTCTATTACCAAAACTACCCTTAGGAATTTAAATATTTTAAAATAAAATAAAATTGTGTTTGATAAATCACCCTTATACCTAATTGCTTACATCCATTTTTAATTAAAAAAAAAAAAAAAAGGAAAGTAAAATAATATATTATTAAAAATAAGAATATAATTATTTCTATTAATATCTAATTTGTATCTTTAACGAACACAACAATTAAAATCTCGAGGTCCTAAGTTTCCAATCAAACTAAGAATCCCAATGGCCTACAACACCAACACCATCCATAATTTTTCAATCAAACTAAAAAACCTGCACGTATACCACTCGATCTCAATCATTATTAATTATGGAACCCAAAATAATTATAAAAAAAATTTAATTTTATATGCATGTATAGAAATATAAATAATTAAATTAGGATTACACCAATTTACAGAAGGAAATCTACCTCCGCGTGAAGTTTGTGGAGAAACTAAAGGGTGGAGAAAAATAAGAAGAAAGTGAAGAAGATTGGGTAGAAACAACTGACAGAGACACAAGAGGAAACTAAGATACAAAGAGGCTAAATTTTGTGAAAAAGTAAATTTCCTGTTTGTACAGAAAAAATTTTAGGAAAAATTCACAACATGCGAGAATCCTACTTTCTCAAAAGTTTTCACTTTCCATCTAATCAAATGTATAAAAATTTTAAATTTTTTCCTTTCCTTTTCCTTTCTAGCTAGTTCTTGCTAACGAAACAAACCCTAAGAAATCCTCAGATTAACAATCGATTTAGATCACGAGAACTAGTATAAATATGGGATCGACCAGTAAATGAGGTACCAATAAATGAGGTATGCGAAAAAAATATTATTCTCATTAAATACAGAACTCTATAGTTTCCTCATATCACTGCTTGATCGTCAGAGCATCCTTGACCGGCACCACACCGGTGTCATCTGAAGCGACATCATCCTTATCAGGGATGGACCCAGAAAATAATGAGAGGGGGGGCAATAATGAAATTTTTTAATAATTTCAGAGGGGGCAATAGTAATTTTTCAAAGGCGTATACTTGAAAAAAGCATATTAGCAAGGTTATATTGCTCAACACATCATTCAGCTCATCAAAAGTTGCATCAGAGCAAGATTATCAACACTGGTTTTGAAGAAGGAGGCTGAGCTAAACCAAAAGCATTCAATGGAGGATCTGTGGATGTTCCTAGATGGATGTGCATTTGCTGGCTGCCACACATGGCTTCTTTAAGAGGATCAGCCAATTCTGGAGGTTGTCTTATAGGTCATAGGGATGTTCAGTCCCAGTTGGTGTTGATGTATACTAGTGTTTGTTGATGTTTTTGCTTGTTCGTGTTTGGTTTTTATGCTGTTCACTCCCCCTACTTGGGGGTATCCTGTACATTCTATTCTTTCCATCTTCTTCATATATGCTTACCTTTTAACTAAAAAAAAAAAAAAAAAAACAAAGGTTACATTGCTAAAAAAAAAATTCAGGGGAGCTTGCTGTAGGTCCGTCCCTGATCCGTATAGTATGTTGTGAATTTTTCCCTCATCACAAAAGTTCTACTTTGCTTGCTGGGTGGAAATAAAAAGTACTACATTAAAAGGGGTTCGATTAGGTTAATCCGCTTAAATAATTTTGAGGTCACAGATCCACATAAAAAAAAAAAAAAAAAATTCCCTTAAAATAAAAACATTAAAATAAAAACAAAACTACTCTTACAATGTATATGTCATACACATATAAAGTGGTTAGTAAGTAGGTTGATTCTTGTTTACCAAAAAAAAAAAAAAAAAATCCCTGTAATCACTCCTAAAAAGACCAAAAATGGATGCAACTAAATAATTTAGTTCCAGAGGTTAGGAAAAAAAAGACCTGAAATTGATAAAACCGAAGCTACCAGTTTCTTGCTCAAAAATAAAGTAAAATAAGGAGTAAATTAACAATAATATGATTTAAATATTCTTATAGGAGAGAGAATTAATAGTCACTTCCTTTTTGGATATGGGCTGTGTTTTTGCTTTAGAAATGATAATTTTCTGTAATTAACCCAAAAAATTAACTACAAATCTAAAACTTCAAATACAGAAATTTTAGGAAAAGTGAAGAATGGATGCTATATTTATGTATGTATGTATATGTATATACCTTGACATTACCAGCTTCTTTAACGGCAGCGATGATCTTCACCTGATCCACCAACTGCGAATGGCCTACCGTTGATATCACCACATCCACCTGCTTTATCGCCTTCACCAAACTCTCGTGATCATACAGATCTCCCTGTGTCCGAACAGCACAAAACATAAATATACTTTATCAAATTATTACTCCCTCCACCCAAAATAAACGTGCCTTTTCTCTTAATATAATTTTTAAGGAGATGAGTTTTAGTATGTTTTTTTTTTTTTAGGGTAAATTACACTGAGACTCCCTAAGGTTAGATTATATTTTAGATAGATGAAGATTTTGGTTTTAATTTTTATTTATATGTGAATTAGTGATTTAGTATTTCACTTACACCCCAATTTACTTTTTACTTGCTAATTGACCATTTTACCCTCAAATTTTTAATATAAAATATATATAACTTAAAAGACAAAAAAAAAAACCCATCTCTCTCTCTCTCTATAGATACACTATTTCAGTCCAAACCATTGTTATGGAGTGACCAAAACAATTTGCTTTTCAGGCAGGAGGACATCCTCTATACCAAACTCAGCCATAACTACCACCACCACCCATCACCCCATTCCAAATCGGCAACCAAATAACACATCTAACCCATAACAACCACCACCTTCAACCAAACCGGCACTGCTCCTCCACCCATCAATCACCCAAAACTTCCACAATCACCACTCATCTAGTCATCCTCATCATAAAGCCAACCCTAGTTTTTTTTTTTTTTTTTTTAAAAAAAAAAAATACCCATCAAGTTTTCTGCCAACCCAAACCCAATTTCTTAACACCACAACCATCCCACCTCGTCGTCTAGACCCACTACCCATCACCGTTCCTCCACCTCTCTGCCGAGCAATGCTACCTTTCAATCCCACCAAGGTAACAGTCTTCCAAGTTCCAACCATCGTTGACATCACACTGTGAACCAACCTTGTCACCACCGCCGACCAGATCCATCAATGCCAAGTCCCCTCTTGCTCACTCGCCAGAATCCTCTCTGGTCCGAGGATCGGACCTTGCTCGCCGTCCCTTAACGCTGCCAGAACCGTGATTGCGAATCGCCATTGCCGACGTCTCTCCAACCATGTTGTGCCTCGCCGTCCCGTGTACTTGCCGATTCGAAGTACATCGCCCCCGAACGGTCCCAAATTCCCAACGGCATCCACCATCGCCGCTGTGCACTACCACCTCTTCTATCTTGGCAGTGCCGTCTGAGTCATTTCTGGCCGGTTCAAACTCGCCGGAGGTGTCCGTGAATGACTCGCGGCGGTGCTTAGAAGGATCGATGGCAGAGAGCTCGGATGGTGGAGAGATGGGGACGGTGGATAGCTCGGTGACCATAGCCTTGTAGTTGAGGTCCATTGCGAGGACTACACGGAAGTAGTATTCGTAGTTCGTTTTTGATGGCTCTGTGAAGATAGATTGGAGGAGAGAGAAGATGGCTTATGTGTAAATTATTTTGTATGTTAGGGTAGTTTGGTCTTAAAAATAGTCAACAAAAGGTCAAAGGCTAGTATAGTCATTTAACACCTAAAAGTACTCTGACCCCACCAAAAATTGACATTTGGGGTGTAAGTGAATACTAAATCACTAATTCAAATGTAAGTGAAAATTAAAACCAAAATTTTCATCTACCTGAAATATGACCTATAATCTCAGGGGGTCTGAATGTAATTTACTCTTTTTTTTTTTAATTATATTAGTAATGACAAAACCATCCATGACAGGTTCACATTTTATAGTTTACTTTTTATAAGTTCAAGGAAGAAAGTGTTAAATTAGTAATATTATAAAAAAATAATACTTTGACTTTTTAAATAGGATAACAAAAAAAGTAAAGGTGAATTTTTTTTTTTTTTTTTTTACCGAAAGGAGTAATACATTCTCTTTTCACTATTGTAATTCTTTTAAATTTTTTAGGGTAAAGTACAGTCACAGCCCCTGAGGTGTGGCAAAAGGACACTCAGAGGAAATTTACCTTTTTTTTGGACAAAGATACTCCTTGAAGGTTCAAAAATGGACAAAGACACCCCTTTACATAAAAAATTGACCAAATTACCCTTTAACCGTTTAGGAGACTTTTTTAAGTTTACAATTTAATAACTTGGACCAATCTACCCTCATGAATAATTTATGCATAAAAAATTGTAAAAAATAAAAATAAAAAAAAAACTTTATATTGTTCACTTTTTTTTTTTTTTTTTTTTTTTGTTTTGTTTTGTTTTGTTATTTACTTTATAAATGTCCCAACTTTTTAAAAATGTAGACGTCTAAAATGATTTTTTGATTCAATACATATATTTCAAATAAATTATATTTTGTTATTACCTCTTTTCTTTTTCATTTTTATTTTTAAATTAAGATGCTTAATTCTTTCATTTAAAAAAATTAAACCAATCTCTTTCTCTTAAAAATAAAAAAATGTGATACCTTTATGCATCTTAAATTATATATAAAATATTATGCATTTCCCAACATAAAAGAAAATAGGTACCAGTATAACTTTATGCATCTTAACTTTATGCATGCCTTTGTTTTTTTGTTTTTTTGTTTTTTTTTTTCCCTTTGTTTTCTTATTATTATTTTTTACCTTTTATGTTGGGAAATGCATAATATTTTATATATAATTTAAGATACATAAAGTTATACTGGTATCATATTTTTTATTTTTAAGGAAAAGAGATTGGTTTAATTTTTTTTGATGAAATAATTAAGCATAAAAATAAAAAAATAAAAAAAAAAGAAGTAATAACAAAATATAATTTATTTGAAATATATGTATTGGATCAAAAATTATTTTAGACGTCTACATTTTTAAGAAGTTGGGACATTTATAAAGTAAAAAAAAAAAAAAAAAAAAAAAGTGAACAATATAAAGTTTTTTTTTTTTTTTTTTTTTTTTTTTTTTTTTTTTTTTTTTATACATATATTGTTCATGAGGGTAGATTGGTCTAATTTATTAAATTGTAAAGTTAAAAAAGTCTCCTAAACGGTCAAAGGGTAATTTGGTCAATTTCTCAAATAAAGGGGTGTCTTTGTCCATTTTTGAACCTTTAAGATGTGTTTTTGTTAAAAAAATAGGTAAGTTTTATCTTAGTGTCCTTTTGCCAAACCTTAGGGGGTGTGACTGTACTTTACCCAATTTTTTAATAACTTAATTGTTCATTTGTTTAATTTTGATCTAAATTTTTTTACTCTTATTATATTTTTACTATTAGTTGTAACAAATTTATCAACAACGTCTTTATGAGATTTAATTAGTACGTTATTTATTGTCTCTTCTTTTTATGTTTTTCATATCCCATTTATATTTTTTAATACCTAAACATATTTGATAATAGAAATTAAAATGTTCATAAAATTAATTTAAATAAAAGTAATAATACAAAATTTTGATCCAATACTCTGACAAATTACTCAATCCTTTTATCTATTCTTATTTTATAACTTCCAATAAATTTATTGCACCAACTAAAAAAAAATTGTAATGAGTGAAGAAGAGAAAAATATGGCTGTAATTAGAGATGGGAGAGATGGAGAGTTTGTAATGACAAATGAGATAACGAGTAAAAAAAATATATATTTTTTAATGATCGAGATAGGGGCAAAAAATGTGAAGAAAAGGGAAGATGACAAAACCTAGGGTTGTTTGGTACATCTTTGTGAATTTGGTGTTTTTATTTTTGTTGAGTACTGTAAGAATGAATGGTGAATCGTCTAGTACTGTAAGAATGGTGAAAAAAAATATTTTTGAAAAAAAAATGTTTTTGAAAAAAAAATATTTTGTTTTGTACCGTATGAAAACGTTTTATAAATAGTAACCAAAATTCGAAACTTTTAATGAGAAGGGCAAAAAAGGTGAAGAAAAGGGAAGATGACAAAACCTAAGGTCTGTTTGGTACACTTTTTGAATTTGGTATTTTTGTTTTCGTTGAGTATCCTCTCCACGACTGGAAAGCTCCCGCACAAAATTCAATAATTGAAATTACATGAATAAATATTTAATTTTCTGTGTATGACCTCTCCAGCCTGGAGAGAATCATTGTTTACATTACGTGGATGTGGACCGTCAAAACCAGTTTTAACGGTTTTTTTTTTTGGTAATTTACACAGACCTCCCCTATGGTTTGCCATAATTACAGGCGGCACCCTTCCTGTTCCGGAAATTACGCGGACCTCCCCTACTTTTTAAAATATCCTACACGGACCTCCCTTCCGTTACGGTCAACGCCAGTCAATGACAGAAATTGATGACTTCAGCCACTATTTTTATTAAAATCCCTAAAATACCCTTATCTATATAATTAAATAAATATTATATTTAAAATATATATATAAAGCAGGTGGACTCTCTCTCTCCTCCCTTACTCTCTCTTTCTCTCTCAAACAACAACAACAACAAGCTCTTCCATGGAGTTGGGAACGCCAATACTAATAAATCTCTTTAAATGAGTCCCTCTCTCTCTCATCTTTTTTTGCAGCTTTAAATTTTCTTGTTTGAGTCACTGAATTTCTTGTTTACTTATTACTGCAGTGCCTTTTTACCTCTATTTGCTTCTCTGCTTCCAGTTCAATGGATACCCATTGACCATGAGCATGTCTACTTGTTTCTTGAGAGGTTTTTTTGGTTATATTTACATGTTTCCACACATTTCTCTCATTGTTCGTCCGTATGGTTACTGGGTTTTTTGAAATTGAAGATTACACAATTTTATTGGGACTCAAAGAGTAGATATGATGGTGGATTTTTTTTTTTATTTTGTACACTGCTAATGGAAAAAATCTTTAATGGTTATGCATACTCTGATAAGTAATAAGTTCATTCAAGGCTTTGGGAATTACAATTCAAAGTGGTCGTTGGGTAGAAGTGTAGAACAGGGATAGATTTTTGGGCTTTTAGTTTGGTGGGTTTGTGTGTTCTAATGGAGTCTTGGAGTTATGTTTCTGAGGGAAAGGGTTTTGTATATGATGAAGCTATTTCAGGTACTGATGCGATTTTGAGAGGTAAAAAACAGTTTATGGATTGGGAATTGAAAACCCCATGTAGTTATGGAAGCAATATAGTAGTCTCAGGTCAGGAGGGCATTGAGAATCAGGGATTTGTGAAATTGGGTTTCTCATAAATGAGGAGAAAATCGTTGCCCAATCATTCAATTAGGGGATGTTTAGAGTAGTAGTGGTGGTGGAAGAATGGTTAATCTAATTGGGTCTACACCAAATGGATTTTTCGGGGAGGAGGAGTCCAGTTCAAAGCTATCGAGCTCGGTTGTGGAATCAAACAGTCGTGATTCATCACTTATTGATTTGAAGCTGAGGAGGTTTGCTGATCATAGAGATGCTCATGTTCTTGATTTTGTGAAGACAACTCCCATGGTCTCTGCATCTGAGTCATCTATGCCGGGGAAGAGGGCGAGAGCAATAGGTTTAAGTTCTCATACTCCCATTTGCCAAGTGCAGGGTTGTAAGAAAGATCTACCCAATAACTTAGAGGGGTCGTTTCGTAATTTTCGATGTCAAAGGGAGGGTATTTCAGTAATTTCGACAGCTCCGTTAGTGTATTTAACGGTCCGTCACAGATAAGGGAGGTCCGTGTAGGATATTTTAAAAAGTAGGGGAGGTCCGTGTAATTTCCGGAACAGAAAGGGTGCCGCCTGTAATTATGGCAAACCATAGGGGAGTTCTGTGTAAATTACCTTTTTTTTATTTTTTTTTTATATACATCATTATACATATATGTATGTGTGTGTGTGTATATATATATATATTTGTAGAATTGAGTGTTCTTACATATAGCAAAGTGACGCCAGCATTCTTGAAGCTGTCCATGAGTTTTCCCTTCACAGGGTCGGAAACTGTGCTTTCTCTTACCAAAGCGAAGGTGGGGTGACCGGCCTTTACGCTCGCTTCCACGATGAATTTTCCGATGTAACCAGTTCCGCCAATGATCAGAATCTTGCTTTTCTCAGCAACTGAAATTTTCAGGGAAGATGAACGAAACTTTCGGGGATTGTGGGATAGAAATAGTTGGACCCCAGCGTTTTGTTCAGTAACAGAACTGGTGAACACAATTGAGTTATTGATACATTGTGTGTTGCTGTTTACACATGATTTTCTTGCTTCATCTTTGGTGGTTCTTGGATTGTTTGACCTCCCTCGTTGCATAGAAGCTCCACTATTTTCACCACATAGAATTATGACACTAGCTGCTTTGTCATTCACGGGATGCTTTGTTTGCCCGGTAGCCATCTTATGGACAAACTTAGAAATGTCATCTTTGATCTCTTTGTGCAGAGGAGCTTGTTCGCCATTGGTTGTAGATGGTTTTTGACGCGTTTCACTCACTGTGATTTTGTCCTTCAGATTTGAAATCACGTTCTTGATCTCTTGTTTTACGTCGTCAAGAATCTCCTCCTTCTCTGGCTGCTTTTGTTGGGCTTGAAATGCAATACTTGGCTGCTGCTTGGCTGCTGCTGCATTTGAGCTTGATGTTATAGTAGTTGCCCTCTGCTTTGGTTCCTCCAAACCGGATGGAGATCGAGGCTGAGGGGCTAGTTGTGATGTTGGTTGAGGCTGAGAAGATGAGGGCTGAGATGCAGGTCGAGGTTGAAGAGTTGCAGGAGATGGTGAAGTGACTCTGGACTGAGCCCCTACACGAGCCAGTGAAGGTGGCTGAGACTCGGTTCTTGTTGATGGTTGAGCCCTATATTGTGGAGGGCTTTGTACTGGGGCTAACCCTGCAGGCCTAGGTTGGGTGGCTGCAGCTGTGGAGGTGGGTAGGGTAGGGGCTGGAGTTTCAGTTGTAGGGCGAGGAGGTGGAGGAGTTGGTGCTGCTGGTCGTGGGAGCCGAAAACGTAATACGGGCCTTTGTTCTGCCATTGACAATATAGAAGAAAATAAACTGGCAAAGAAGTAAATGATGGTTTGATGTTCTTAGCAATGATGATGTTTGAATGTCACAATATATATAGGTTATTGTGTCTTCATGTGTACACTGATTGCTTCTTTGCCTCTTGGGGAGAAAACTTGTGTTTTGGTAAAATGTGGATTCCCTACACAGATTTTCCTTGTCAGGCAGGTCTAGCATCTCATTTCAATTGCCTTATGGAGTCCTCCATGGTAATATCACATGATTCACATTGCCTTCTTTAGGGATGAAGATTATGCATAACATATGATCAAGATCACATTGTACTAATATCAATTGCACTCACTCTTATTTCAACATGCTCATCCAGAGAAGCAAATAGTGTGAAAAAAAAAAAAAACAAAACAAAACAAAAAGGAAAGAAAAAGGAAGAAGATTAAGTACCTTTTGATTCTCCTAGTTATTCAAGAAAAGAATACACCAAGGCATGTTTTAACAGGCAATCAATGGGTTCAAATAAGTTCCAAGTTCAAATCCATTTCTTCATCATCGGGATTGGTTCTAGTTAGTTCCAAGTTCTCTCTAATATGCTTACACTTTGTTTCCGTGCTAATATGTCAATTATTTTTATTCATTATTTTCTATTCCCAATCCAATTTCAATATTTCGGGGCATGCGCAACCAAACATAGCATGATAGAGTTTAAACTTTTTGCAATCCAAGAAAATTATGACCATCACCTGTTGCACTATCATATCCCTGACTGCAAATTTTTAATTGTAGACACTAAAATTTCATGGACTTTTGTTTTGACAAATTGACCCATTAAATATGGGTCTCAGGTTTAATTAAATAATTTAATTGGCCCAAACTTGGTCCACTTAAGTTATTTAATTATCCCAGTCCAGGTGATTAAATAAAAAGATAATTATTTCTAATAAAATATATTTGGAATAATTATTTTTATGAATAATTATCATAATATAACCGGCCTGGCCCAATTATGATTTTATTCTTATCAGGAGAGTGCACGTGTCATCATCCTATTAATCCAAGAAACTTATAAATAGAGGCATGGAGGAAGGAGGAAAACGGTCCAGAAATTGAGAGACTCAGAAATCCAGAGGGCCAGAAATCCCAGAGAGAAATACAGAAGCTCTGCCAACATTCATTCCCAATACCCAAGCCTGAAGTCTAAGAGCAACAAGCACATCAAATTGTGTCGTTCTTCATCAAAATTCTACAGTGATCAACAACAAGCACATCCAAAGCCATGCCGTTCTTTATCAAATTCAACAAATTCTCTCTGAAGGCGAAGAACAACAAGCACATCCAAAGTCATGCTGTTCTTCACCAAATTCAACAAATTCTCTCCTCTCTGAAGGTGAAGAACAACAAACACATCCAAAGCCGTGCCATTCTTCCTCAAATTCAACAAAGAACAACAAGCACATCAAAATCATGCCATTCTTTCTCCGTGACTCAACAAGTTTGACGAATCACCATATAACACTGTCCGAGATCAAGCTCCGTCAGTGCTCGATCAGAAATCATCGGCAATATTCTTCAACTACAAATACTTGAAGAAAATTGTCAACAACCCGATTCAAGATCAAGCTCCAAAAGCCCTTAAATCCAACCAACAAAAGAGATCGAATCAGAGGATATTTTCTTTCTTTTGTAAAGAATATCTCAGAGAATTGTACTCAGTTTTTTTTTTAAATTAATAAAATTTTATTTGCTCCCTATTTTGTTTCTTATTTGTAGACTACGAAATTTGTGTGTACAAATTTTAGGCATGCCCGGTGGGACATCATCTGCCTCTCATCTCTTTCTCCTATATCAAATCCTCAACAAATTCACCGTCAGATTCTATGAGTACTTCCAACAAGATTCAGATGAAGAGCAACAATACCCCCAATGACGTCGCAGTCGTGATGGAAAACATCATTACCACCACAAAAGGTGGCAAGAAGGTTACAACTTCATCAAGTGGTACAAACACCTTTGCAAGTTCAATGATGTAGAGTATGGTCAAATCATCTGTTCCCGCCAAAAAATAGCACAATGCAATGAGAGTCAATTCCGCCAAATCTGTTAAAGTAATAACTCAACTAAACTCATACCGCCTTCACCTCACTGGGGGCAAGGAGGAAGGTTTTTACAACCTCAAAGGTTGCTCCAGTCACAAGTTTAAGTTCAAGGCTGGTCTACTAAAGGCCAAATATTTTTTCCGACTTCGTCACTATGCCAGTCATGATGACGAGTACTACCTCATACGAAGAGTAATTGACTAGTATGGCCCGTGCAATTGAAAGATTACAACACTCTCTCAAGGAGCAAGATCTGAAAATTGCCTCGCTGACAGAAAAGTTAAAATTGCGTGACGACAATGCTGAGTCAAGCAAAGGTCGAATTCCTCATTCTAATTCCATGCCAGAGATCACTTTAATTGGCGATCATAATGAAATGTCCGCCAATCCAACAATTGAAGCTGCCTCCGTCACCTCACTTTTTGTCCAACAACTTCAAGACATGATAGTGAATTGCATAAGAGAACAATATAGTGGTGTTTCTCAAAATGCTCGCTTGTACTCAAAGCCTTACACAGAAAGAATTAACATCTTAAAAATGCTGGTTGGGTATCAACCTCCAAAGCTTCAACAGTTTGACGGATACGGCAATCCCAAGCGACATGTCGCACACTTTGTAAAAACTTGCGGCAATGCTAGTATAAACAGAGATCTCCTTGTCATGCAATTTGTTTGTACCCTCAAAGGGAATGCATTTGATTAGTATACAGACCTCAAAGCTGGAGGTATTGACAGTTGGGAACAAATGGAACGAGAACTTCTAAACCGTTTCTACAGCACTCGTCGTACTGTAAGTGCTGGAGCTTACAAACACAAAACAAATGAATGGTGAACCCACGGTTAACTATATCAATCGTTGGCGAGCTCTAAGTCTTGACTGCAAGGATTGTTTATCTGAAATTTTTGCAGTTGAAGCATGTATGCAAGACATGCACTGGAAGCTTCTTTACATCCTACAAGGGATTAAGCCTCGCACATTTGAAGGGCTTATTACTCGAGCCCACGACATGGAGCTTAGCATAGAAAATCATGGTGCTAGAGAAAATGTTCCTGATATATCCTATAACAGTCAAGAAGATGAGAGAAGTTAGTCCGAAGAAGAAGACAATATACTTCCTAACTCGAATGACGAAATAACTTCATCTTTCATTATAAGCATCATCTCGAAAGACTTACATCAAGAAACGCACCATGCTACAACAATGACTTCAACCGAAAGTGCAAAATCACAGGGGGCATTAAGTCAAGGAAACCAAGAAGAAAATCTTCAAAGTGACGACGAGATAGTTCGTGCCCTCCAATATAAGCTTGGATTGTCATTTGATTCTTGCAAAGTCGAAGAATAATTAAAGTTGAAGTGCTCCCAGATACGAGCCTAAACTGTCGATGACACCCCTTAAAAAAAATCAAGAACTTCTTGATACGAGTTTAAACTGTCTCTCAATAAATAAATAAAAAATAGGACACTCCTTGACACGAGTTTAAACTGTCTATCTGGAAAAAAAATCAAGAATTCCTTAATACAAGTTTAAACTGTCTCCCAAAAAAAAAAAGAAAAAAAAAATGGCACTCCTTGATACGAGTTTAAACTGTCTACTTGAAAAAAAAATATCAAGAACTCATTGACACGAGTATAAACTGTTTGCCCAAAAACAAAATTTCGATAACATTCCTTGACATGAGTATGAACTGTTTGCCCAAAAATAAAATTTTGATAACACTCCTTGACACGAGTTTAAACTATCTACTTGAAAAAAAAAAAAAAAAAAAAAAAAAAAAAAAAAATCAAGAACTCTTTGACATGTGTATAACCTGTCTACCAAAAAAAAAAAAATTTGTCAACTACATGATGACTTGATCCTTGTTTGGGTATGTAGGCATCTTGGAAGTTTGTTCCAAGTTCAATCAACCCAAAAAAAAAAAAGCCAAAGTGTGCTCATCACATAATATCAAAAGTGATTCGTCACACCCTGTCAACTTGGCACTCCACCGAATTGTAGCTGTAAAGGAAATTTTGATCTGTCACCAAATTGTAGCTGCAAGAAAGAAATTAGGCGCGCCGCCAAAGTATAGCTTCAAACAATACTTTTGGATTGTCGCCAGAATTGCAATTGCAAAGGAAAATTTGATCCGTCGGCAAAGTTTAGTTGCAAAAAAATAATTTTGCTCGCCGCCATTGTGTAAATTCGACTTGCCGCCAAGGCATCGCTGAAGAATCTAGTTCGTCATCAAGGTGTCATTGAAGACAAAAAATTCTGCTCGCCGCTAAGGTATAGCTGAAAGAGAAATTTGGCCTCCTGCTGAGGTGTCGCTGAAATAGAAATAAATTCGACTTGCTGCTGAGGCATCGCAGAAGATAAAAAAAAATAAAAAACACTGATGGGCATGCAAGCTTCATTTGTCAATTCCTCCTCACGCGGTCTGCAACAACTTCTTGAGGTATCATTGGAGAAAAACATTATATTCATCGCTAAGGTATCGGCTTGCCATCACGTCAAGGAATCTCTGCAAAAAAAACAAATTAAAATAAAAACAAAGTCAGCTTGCTGCATAGGTGTCGCTGAACGGAGTTATTGATCGCCAACTTGTAGCTGACAGGCCATGTAACAGCAGTCTTGCCACCGTTCTCGGTCTGTTTGTACCTTCAGTTCAGAGCAGAGATTAACCTGGCATCGTCAATGGTTCTGGTAAACCTCCATTAACAGACCCAAAAGCCCCAGCGTGCTCGTCGTTAGGAAAACTTCAGTTTTGGCGGGAAAATCTGGCAAGAATCTCAGGCGATCTTCAGGATAAAACAAGTCCAGCGAAGCTTCAATCTACTTGACCCAACAACGTGAGTTTCAACGTTCAAACTTCATGTTTTCCGGCAATGACTAATTGAAGCTCCAACCAAACAACGTCGACCAAACTTCAACCAGTTTCAGTGAGTTGCCAATATGTTTCTTCTACCCAACCGTTTT